TCAAACATTTTTGCTAGAGCAAACTGCTTTGAATGACCTGGTTTGATCTTGAAATAACCTTGAATGTCAATCATATTTGTATGCAAAATTTCCTATTCTATACTTAAAGGTCATCATCATCATCGAAATCATGACCAAAGTCACCAATATTTATTTTTCGAAATATATAGGCGGAGCGATTGAAATGGGACACGCTGTATATTTAAAGTAGAACGTGTTGCGACCATGCACTCAGATAAAAATGATAAGTTAAATATTCTAAAATGGGTGAATTTTGGGTAAAAATGTCAAAATTTGGAACATTGGAATAATCAAGAAAAATATTGAGGAAAGGCTAAAATAGATATATTCTAAATAAATGCAAAAATAACATGGCTGCGATCAACTTGAGATGTAAGTAAAGTTTCAGGACCAAAACCCCACTTATAGACCCTGGTCCTTTACTTTGAGTAAATGCAGCTAAGAGTAGTAGAAGTGAAAATATTGTGTTCAAATAAATTAAACGATCATTCATTTCATGTCCACTATTCTACCCTGTATATAGGGTGTTTCGGAAAAACAATTCAAAACTAATAAATAATATAAAAAAACGAAAAGCGGTCGTATCAACATGGTTCTTAAAATGACCACCCATTGAAATTATATAATAATTTTGAAATTGAAAAAATATTTATTCGTAGTGGATTAAAATTTTGATGTTAAAGTTTGTACATGTAGTACTAACATCATATAAAAACTTTCGTGCCTGAGACTGCTCCAGTCGCATATAGAAATTGGGAAATTTTGGCGACTACTGAAGGAAAAGTAATTGATTTTCTACTAAAGCATTTTTGAATAAGATATTTCATTTTACATGAATTGTCACTCATGAGAAATTATTGGCAGAAGATTTCTTCCAGCGAAACATTGGTTTGAACGTTTGAGTTGAGATTGGTATAAAAAACATGAACCCATTCTACTTTGAAATTATGCTGAGGTTAGTGAAGTTTGGCATTGATAATAATTGTGCGTAGTTTATTAGGAAAATCACTCACCAAAGCGTCATGTTAGAAATATTCATGTTTTGTCATTATTCAGTCTCATTGGTGTAGCACAAATCTACAACATTCTATATCTAGATAGTGGAACATTTTAGGAACTCTATCTAAAGGAACATTTTTGTTATTTTTGGGTGAACATTCTACCCCAGGAATGTCACTACGTTTTTCTGAAACACCTTATATATCACGTTACGCACACAAAAATCATAAAAATGTGTATCAAGTTAGTAAGGTAGATACTATATACAATATACGTTGCAAAGCACCATTTATTGTTAATAAATTATATATGATAATATAAATGACATAGCGTTTTATACGAAGTTAAATTACTGTAGGTACTATTCAAAATAAAATCTTAGTGTACTCAGTCGATTGCATGCAAAATGCTAGCCTCAAAGAGTGGTATGATTCACAGATGTTAAATAAAAAATATGTTAATAAAGTATTTATCCGGCAAACGGAAAATTGAGAGGTCTTAATAGCGCTGTGTACCGGGGCTACCATTAAACTGTTTCTAAGATTTCAAAAATGTGCGTGGTTCTAATATGTTCCTTGTACTTCATGTTATGATATTGCTTCTGAGCATATCGGCTTAATAAAGAAGTGGTATAATGTGGCTCGATGATTTAAAGAACCGAAAACCAGTTTTTGAGCCTAGCTTTATCATGAATAGGTATATAAATTCGCAAAAGACATATATTAAGAAAGGGTAAATGAAAATACGAGTATAGATATATTTAAATGTTCATTGTCACTAATTTTAAATAGACGAAGTCAACCAATATATTGTGCCTTACAAAAATGAAATCTGTATGAACCCTATACATGGAGAAATATAATATTCACGTCACTATTCGATTTCTGGATATACCACATATATTCTCTGATATACCATAAAGATGCTAAGCAGGTAGCTTTTATTTCCAGTAAAGGTAATGATTGAAATTTGATAGAATTTACCTTTTCTTAGGCCGTTATCTCTCCGCAATAAGTGTATGCGAAAAGTACCCTAAATAGTAGAAACCTTTGAAAGATATAAGATATAAAATTTATTTTCTTGGGAGGGGATCATCTGCAATATATTTTAACTACTGCAGAATAAATCTAAAAACTGGTTATAACATTATTGCCTTATTTCTTCCGCTAAAAACTATAAATTACCCTAATTTAAACGTGGGTAACGCTTAGCTCCATTCAAAAACTATTTACAGTTTTGGCCTAATGAAATTACGGCATTTTTTTCTCAGTTATCAACATGAAAATATAATTTGATACATCCTGCTCTGTGGGTGCCATCCAAAGGTTTTACGTAACCGACACTAAAAAAGACCTATACGTTTATCGAACTTTCAGTTTATAGGTGCTTTGTCTCTTTAGGATACTTACAAAGTTTAGTTTTATATAACTTGTATGTTAGATTAAGGCTAGAAGTTTAATAAATAAATTGTTTCCAGATATCTTACTTGTTTTTTTTTGTAATCCTTTTCAATGCGATAATACTAACACAAACACTATCCAGAATATGTGGGCAACCTTTTGAATTCCAAGGTACAAGTTTCAAATGCCCGATTTTACTATTGACCGGAGGGAATTAAAATCTTCACCATTGGCATAAATTAGACCAATGGGAAGGTGTCTTTGAAGTAATGAATCTAATAAATGTGGTCGATTTCTCGTAAAATGTCTCTCAAAATGGATAAAAATTATACTATGTATTTGTGTGATATGGGCTCCAGTTCTCATGTTAAATCAAACAATACTACATATGTCACACAATTCTGCTACAAAAATTCATTTTTTATTTGTTCTCGGACACAAAAATTGAAGCAAATTCCACCAATCGTAAAAAAGGATTTGTGGTCCACTCGGAACATGGATCAAACCAGATACAATATTTTTTTTATTGAAAATAATGGTGTGTTTCGCTTTGGCTGTACAAAGTCTGCTTAACCAATCCTTTGAAGATATGAATAAAATTACAGAATGCTCATCTTTAACAAACATTGAGTAAATAATCAATTTGCTTAACTACCTTGCGAAAAACCCTGTTCCTCAAGCCAGTCCTGTTACTGTTAACAGGAAGATACCGCGCACTCTAGACTATGCCGAGCCGCAGTAACGGCGACAAGGCTTCCCAACGGCTTCCGAAATCTCTAATAATAATAATGCAGCCGATCTGCTTGGACTCGTTCGAGCTGCCACGGAATCAGCATCCGTTGCTCGAGCGTTTGATACCACAAAGTAATGCTTGTCTAACGACATCAAACAGATGATTTATGAAAAGCGTCGCGTAATCAAACAGGCAACAAGGACCCGGGCACCAGTTGAAATTTCGACTGCAAACAACCTAGTCGACTCGGTGCGGAATGCCATTTCTGAACTGACAAAGTAACGATGTTCTGACTTTCTGGGATCCATGCTTCACTCATAGCCAAATTTTCATGGTCCAATAAAAAGGAAAAATCCCTCCGTTCCAGGGAGCAAGTGGCATTGTCTGGACAACATCCACGTGATTGAAGAACAATGTATTGATCCATATTTTAGGGACCTTGAGCAAACAATATCTCGTAATACCCCGCTTTGCAGTGTTACAGAGCTTGATGGCCATATCAACTCCATTAAGATCCGTAAGGCACCGGGAAGTGATGAGATCTAAAGCTTTTAAGCTTCTCTCTGAACGATCTCGGATCTATCTGCTGACGATTATTAATGCTATCACTTGCAATGTTTCCCTCTTGATCGCAAGCTTCCACATGTAATAATGATACCCAAGAAAGGAATTACGGCAGAACCGCAAGAATACCGCCCGGTCAATCCATTATTTGTTCCTAGTAAACTCGCTGAGAGAGTCATCCTTGAACGATTGCAGGATTTTCTTGTGGAGAGAGAAATCCTGCAATCCTGCACTAGCAAATCTGTATTTCAAAAAAAAAGAATTTGAATTTTATAAACTGAATACTGATATTGAACAGTGTTCAAATTTAAAAATGTTTGAGGTGAAATTAAAAAATCACTTTAAGAATACTCAAAATGCATAATGATGTAATTTTAATAGACAAGAATGTAAAATTACGGAAAGTTAATTCAAAAAATGTGTAAACAGATAAAATACAAAATTGACATTGTACCATTAATGCTAAACAAACAAACTAAAAAACCAAAGAATTCGTCAGAGATAGATGTACGCATCATCAAAGAAGAAAATTCATGAGGTCACTGCACCAGTTTCTGGTTCCAAAAGTTTGTTTTGCATCCTGCTAATTACAAAATATCGGAGTCTCTCAAGTGAAATGTGCTTCAGAATGAACTTTTGACCAAATTTTTATTTCGAGGGAATATCAACATTTTGCCTCTAAAAAATTTCAGTCTGGTTATTTTTTCTAGCGTGACGTGATAAATTGTATCACACCCTATCCTTAGAATGTGACCCTACTTCTTCGTTGGAGGTTAAACTTCTGTCGTCAGATGTGATGAAAATAACGTTTATTGCCCGTCACTGATAATTTTACACAAATGTATAGTCACATTCTATCGTTATCCAAAATAAGTGTCAAATTCTGATTCCTTCCCGAGATAAACAGAGGATTCAAATGCGTTTTCTTTCAAAACATAAATTTGAAATAAGCTTCTCCCAATACGTTTACGGAAAAACGATATTTCAAAAATCTATTTCAGAATAGAATTTTATCTAGATATCATACTGGAAGCAAATTTTATGAGAACGTTAAGTCACTCCAATATGGGCAATATGGAAATTCTGGGACCGAAGCTAGATCAAGATCGATACAAACGTGTTGAAGATGAAGTTATTAGAGATATAAATTCAACACATGGTATAGTTCATTAATAGCACCTGACAAAACTTTGGCAAGTTCCTTTAGAAACAGGTTATGTTTCTGCGTGAGTGAAATATTTGAAATTAGTGGTATATATTTTTTATGCTTAGCGAAAAGTAAGCGGCAACTATGGACGCCAATCCCTTTGGAAAGAAAGAGGACGTGTATGGATTCCAAACCTTATGGAGGGAGCTTGGATATTACATATCCAGACTTGAGCATTATGAAAGAAGTAAGTATTAAGAATCAATAATAAGGTGCCCCATACCTATGGCGATATTTCCAGCTTTTTGACCCAAAGAACTCAAAAAAGTTTTACTAAATTATAACGTGGGAAGAAACTTAACCAATCATAAGGTGTTTTTGAAGTAATGGATCTAATGAAAACATGTTTTAAATTTCCCAAAGAATGTAGATTTTGAAGGAATGCCATAAATTGGCTACAAAACCATATTTTTTATTTGATCCCGGGCGTAGAATTTGCGACTAGGTAGCAAATTTGACCATCAAAAGGAAGGATTTCTGCCCTGCTTGAACCAAATGATAAATCTGATACAATGGCTAGACTCATATGACAGCAGCTACTAGGCGCTTTATAAATAATAACAGTGTTACTACTTACTTGGTAAAAATAATTTTGGAAAAAAATATATATTATTAAAAATTCATCATTGTTTGAGCATTTCTTATTTTTTTCGTCTCTCGTATTTTTTGCAACTCCCAAACGACCAGATAGTTTAAATTCCGTATAACGCATGCAGTTTACTATACACCAGAACCTATTCATTTTGCAAGACCTCTCACGCACCCAATATATTGCCGTGACGTTTCCTCTGAAACCTAAGATATACCGCCCCACTAAGTGCGATCAGGTATTAGATTTACAACACCAGAAATAACTTATGTCTGTCTTAAATCACAGGTTTGGGGTTCTAGGGGCCGTGCGATATCCTCCAAAGTCCTATTTCTATATCTCTATGCAATCGAACGGTCATTCGGCATCTCCCAAATAATCCCGATACCTCTTTTTCGAATAGTGTATTTCATAATTAAATTTTGAGGAGTATTTCCATCTGAGTTTTCGTGACATTTTACATAGCTAATCCCTCTTATAGGGATGTCGGCATGTCTCAAAACTGATAATTTAGGCTGTAATTCGATAATTTAATTTTCGAAGTATTGTACAAGCAATTAACGATACCTATTATAAACAGCACTACAACCCCGGGTGAGTTCGGCTGTCTTTAAAGTTTGCCTCCATCTGGTGCGGTCTTCTATCTCTGCAGGGTCAAAGTTTGAGTCCGTTTTTGCTAGATCTGATTTGATGTTATCCGTTCATGTTACGGGGGCGACCTATAAGTATTTTATCACTTGGTTCTTCCTCCCAGATCATCTTTGAACGTGGCCAGCCCATCTCAATAGCTGTGCTCTATTCCTTATTGTGTGGGTGACTACGTGCAAGCCAATGCTGCAGACTTAAGCACAGTAGTTAGGGGTCGTTTTTGTAGAACAGTCTCTGAAATTATGCAGGGCGCTCTGGGCTCTGTGGAATCGTGGTACAGGGAAGTCTATCTTTCTGTTAATGCTGGAAAGACCGACCTGTTCCTATTCACCAGGAGAAGAAGGCTTGACGGGCTGGTTATGCCGACTTTCTTTGGGACTAGATTATTCCTATCACAATCAGTAAAATATCTGGGAATTATCCTGAATTGCAAACTGAACTAGAGACAGCATATTGAATACAAGGTCAACAAGGCTCGCAATTTAATGTGGGCCTGCAGACGAGTCGTCAGTGTAAGTTGGGAGCTTAAACCCAAACTGGTATACTGGCTCTACACGACGATAGTGCGTCCATCTCTCTTTTACGACTCCCTGGTCTGGTGGCCTTGCATTAGAACTGAGACAACTAAGGCCAAACTCAATAAAATTCTGCGTTTGGCCTGTATTAGCATTACAAGCGCAGTGCGAATAACGCCATTGAGTGCAATGGAAGCTCTGTTGGATCTCCCACCGTTGGATCCAGTATCCGCGGTGAAGCGAAAGTAGTCGCTCATCGACTGTGGAGTCAGGGCAGCTGGGCCTTCTTGAATCCTGTCAAGGGGCATACTGCCATCTTAGTCGAATTGCTTGTCCTTCTGAGCAGGGGTGACCACATTACCGCTAAATATCGCTTCAACCGCAAGTTTAATGCGGAGTATCCAACGAGGAAGGAGTGGGACACCGGTAGCCGGAGACTCTCCGGAGGGAGCGGGCGGGTCTGGTACACGGACGGCTCACCGAAGAGGGGTCAGGTGTTGGGGTCTCTGGGCCTAGAACTAGGCTATATCTGCCTCTCGGTGGATACACCACCATTTTCCAGGCGGAAATCTTTGCGATTCTGGCTTGTGTATCTCGCATCCTGGAGGAGGGTGGGAATAGGAGAAGAATAAAAATCTTATCGGACAGCCAGGCTGCAATGAAGGCACTAAGTGCCTGTAAGATTACTTCGAGTCTTGTTTTGCAAAACTTATGATGGGCTGATCATCGTCGAGAATCAAGGACATTGCTGGAAGAGTGTTTCCATAGCATCGGCGAAAACCTCGACGTTTTTCTCTGACTTAAAGACTATGTTCCCACGTCCGTGGATAAGCGGAGTTGTTCTCTCTTTCCGTTTCTGACCGACTTCGTAACTTCCAGAAAGGAATACTTGAGTCAAGCATGCCCGCCAGAAACTCGCTGAATTGCTCATTACGGAATTCATGAAGATTTGTCGCTCTGCGAATGTCATCAGGATGAGTCGCTGTGCTTTGATTTAATATACATAGATGTCCAAAAATCTTACCCAGTTCACTGCGAGTGGAACGCGTAAGCCGTTATTCATTGGCTTTCTTCATCGTCCAAATTTCACAGATAGATATCGCAATGGGTCTTATGATGGTCTTATAAATGCTATTCTTAGAGGCGACTTAATTGATTAGTAAGGACGGACACGCATTGATACGCAGATTGGATTCTGCATTTATGTCACTGTCTGCAATGATCGTTGCTCCAAAGTATCTGAAATGTTATCAATGTCTATTGTTACATTTTGCCCAATTCTGTCCCCTTTGTCTTGTTTATGTATTTAGTTTTGTCTGCAGTAATTCTTAATCTTTTTGGTATGTGCCTCTACAACTTCAACATATCATACAAATGATATCAATATATTTTCAAGAAAGTCAATATTATCTACTTCTGCCCTTCAGCTTTTAAAAGTTCCAGGGTAATTTCTGCCTCAATTACTGCCTTTTCTAAGATTACATTTAACAGAAGCATTTCTGCTTAAAGCCCGCGGTTCTATTAAACGGCTCGGCGATCTGAATATTATTTACTCCTACCCCGGCTCTACTGCTTTTTACTCATATCTTAATTATGTTGACGAGCTTCCCTGCAACCCAAAATTCAGCGAACGTAATCCATGATATTTCTCTCCGTGTACAATGTTATAGGCCTCTCAAAAATCCATAAACCGATTAAGAATGGTGCTGTTAAACTCCCACACTTTTGGGAGCAACTGTCTCAACGTATTTGTCCTCCATCATTTTGCACGTTCATCAGTTTCTCGTACAAGCGATTGCTAGGAGTTTAATATTCGTTCATCTTATAAAACTCGCCCGTCGCATAAAAAGCGATGAATGTTATAAAAGCTACGGTTGCCCAGGTCCCTTGGGATGATTTGGGCTGCAATAAAATCTTACGCTATGTTTTATCCCTATTGCATCACAAAGATATGCGTTACATACAGGGTGTACCAATGAAAATGAAAATTAGTTTTATGAGCAATCTGTTAGAGCAAAAATATGTTTTCGTGGCAACCTTGATATGTTACTAGTGCATATTTTAAATAATTTTAATATAAACAGAGTGTTCCATAACTTCGTGCGATATTAAACATATTTTTTTTAATGTAACACCGTATATGGTATTGAATATTTGATTAGAGCTTCTAAAACAAGAAGTTTGTTATCATATAACATATGGATTTGATTGTAATTGTTTAGATATTTGGTCAAACGTCTGAAAAATGGCCAGCTTTGACCGCTCCCAGCTCCACCATTTTTGAAGGTATTAAGATAAATCTTAGTTCACAAAAATTTTACAATCATCGATTTTAAGCCTACCTGAAGTGCTAAAACTTCTTTCTGTTTATACATGATCTTAAAACGCAAAAAGTACCTTTTCTCAAAAATTTCAGATGGAACACCCTGTATATTTATACATCGTTTTCTTATATAAGGTTTATACACATTTTTTCCAAACGTTTTTGTGTTATTGTTATTAATTTCAAGAAAAACCAAATACATACTCGTATTCCATTTTAACATGGAATCAAATCTTCTATCATAACAATAGCCTAAGACATTCAATCGTTAACAAATTGCTCGAATATATTACCTTGGTGCAAAGCACACAAGACCAGACGCCTTTTCATATTATTTTGTCTTCTATCATAACAATAGCCTAAGACATTCAATCGTTAACAAATTGCTCGAATATATTACCTTGGTGCAAAGCACACAAGACCAGACGCCTTTTCATATTATTTTGCACGTCTAAAAGGATTTTGTCTAGTTATCCGTCTAAGCGACTCTTTTATACGTCCTCGGGTGTTGTACAGTTGTATTCATAAAAAAAGCGTACACGAATTAGAATGAGAGGAAACCTTAACCTTATTTGCGTAAAACCGGCTTATCGCATGTTAAAGGTTATTAAAAATGAGAAGCATGGGCGTCGGGCATTAGTTCAATACAGTAACAAAAATGTATTTCTTTATTTTACAACTTAACAGTTTTATAAAAATTACAATAGAAACAAAAAACGATTAACAAGAATAAATAAAATCTAATATTTGGTCATATATCCCTGTTTTTCTATTACTTGAGCCAGTCTATTCGGAATTGACTGAATTATATTTGATACAATATTTGGATCAAGCTCTTCCCAGCACGCATGTATTATTTCCCATAAATCTTCTGAATTTTGTGGCCTAAAATTTCGATTATATATTTTTTTTACGATTATACCCCAAATATTTTCGATTGGATTGATATCGGGACTATAAGCGACCCAAGGCAGCACTTCCACATTATGGGTTTGAAACCAGTGGGTTAAAGCATTGGCCGTATGAACTGGACAATTATCTTGTTGAAATATGAACGTATTATTGGGATATATTTGCTCAGCACTTGGTAACAATATGTTTTCTAAAATGTTAATGTAATTTCCGGCATTAAATCTTCCCTCTATTCGCCAGCAAACACCAGGTCCATGAACACTTATCCAGCCCCATACATTTACAGAGAAACGCCCAGGTCTAGAATTGAGGGGGTTAGTATATCGCTCTTCAAACCTGGTATTGTTTGGACGGTAAACACGAATTTGGCCGTTATAAGTCGACTGGAACATTTTTTTCGCAGCAGGGTGACATTTTAGTTCAGATTTCATTACTCTCCTGCTGGCGGTAGGTTGGGAGGCAGGAAATGCTGTATCAATAACAGCATCCCTTACAGTTGCAAATGGATTATTTCTTAAATATCCCAAAAAAGCAGCATCCTGTTCAGGGTTGGTAAGTTTGGGACGACCTGAACCAATTTTCCTCTTTAGGGAATCTTCCTGTTCCCAGCGTTGCTTAATTTTCAATATGGTTTTTTTATTTATATTATACAACTGCGCTACAGCACGGATTGACCATCCTTCTTCGATTCTTGATACAATTTGAGCCTTTTCAACTTCAGACAACTGACGAGGCATTTTTATTTTCTTCTGTCAAAGTTTATCAAACGTTACCACCACGCATTTTCGAAATTAATTACACCGACGTCAATGCTTTGCATTTTTGACAATCTACGACGTGTGATAACCTCCAATAAACAATCATTTAGACAAGCCGGTTTTACGCAAATAAGGTTAAGGTTTCCTCTCATTCTAATTCGTGTACGCTTTTTTTATGAATAGAACTGTAGGTTTCTCCTGGTAAACCTCTCCTTTTACGTGGGCCCAGGGAAAGAAATTGAGAGGCGTCAGATAGAAAGATCTCGCTGGCCAATTCATTGGTCCGCCTCTCCATATCCAACTATTAGGTGATGGTGCTCCTTGAAAATGGTGTGGCCCAATAATTTGATCGCCAGTGATGCCAGCTCACACATTTAGTGACCATATATTTTGGTAGTCCACTTGTCGGATTTACTGGTACGTAATAATGCATATTACGGCGATTCACGAGACCATTGCTCTTAAATATTGCCTCGTCGCTGAAGAGTATGGAAAAGAAGGAAGGCCGTGTTCTCAATTTTATGAAGCATCAAATTGCAAAATGACACTCGATTGTTGAAATCATTCCCATGGAGGTCTTGGTGTAGCACCAAATGGTATGCATGATACTTATACTTTTACGTAATTCTGTTAACAGTTGAGCTGCTAACGTCTACCATCTCACTGAGTCATTGGGTACAAATCTGCATGTACTGAATTTTTGTACTGCACTGAAAGCAAGAACAAACATCAATGATATCTGGTCCTTCGAATTAAACACAATAACGAATCGAGTTTCCCAAGTTCCTGAAACAACGTGGTGTGAAAAAAGACTGGACCTGATCAAACATCTGGGAATCAACAGAACTACTTGGAATATATTACAACAATTTCATAATAAATGACTGTCTTAGGTTAAGATGAGTCTTATGTAAAAAGAATTTCATTGTTTTTATGGAAGATCTCATTTTAAGTCTAAATATGGAATATACTTTTTTCTTGGAATTAATAGCAATAACTCTAAAACTGTTCGAAATAATGGTATAAGCCTTATATCAATAAAAGGTTCCCAAGACAAGCATTTTAATAATGTAGAAATATATAGGATGTTCAATTTTAAATTTATGAGAATAAGTACGTTTCGCGTTTTGAGATACCTTGTATAAATAGAAGGATATTTTCGCATTTCCTTCAGTGTTCAGTGTGAACTTTTATCTGAATACACATATTCAAAAATCGCGAAGTATGCAATAAATTATAGAATATTTGTTATTAAGTTATGGAGCACCCTGTACATATTGAAAATTATCAAATTAATTAAATAAAATTATGAAAATAATGTTAAGATATGCTCTAGTAACATATCAAGGTTTCCAGGAAAACAATTTTTGATGTCTTTTCCAGTTTGCTTTTAAAACTACTTTCCATTTTCGTTGCGACATCCTGTATGTTTTATACTTTTTAAAAGATAACGCGGAATCAAATATATGGGGGTTGATCTAATGTACATTCCTCGTACCGTACAGCAAGAGTCAACTGTCTCGTTTCCAATGCCTAAAAATAAACATCATTAGAAAATTTCAGAAAAAAAATATGGACCGTGAACTGTTGTTGGAAGCTAAGGTGATAACTGAAAAAATAATGGAAGATAATGTTTCTAAAACATATCAGCTTAGTAATTTTCTCTTAATTCTTAATTTTTAGGTTTGAATTTTTTTGACGAGGCTATCAAAAAGACCCCAAATGACAAACGAGCTTTAATTGGGAGAGCGAGGGCAAGAGCAAAGGCTTGCCAGTATGAAGGTGCCCTTGAAGATGTCAACAAAGCCCTAACCTTCGACCCAGATGATCTTGTAGTTCTGGCGGATAAAGCTTTGAATACGTACCTGAGTTGTGAGTTTGAAGAGGGTTTGGTGCAGAATACCAGGTTGTTACCTAGGAGGCAAAAACCGGACCATTTTAGTATGGGAGTTATGCATGTAAGTGTTAATCTGATAATTTTCAACCAGTGGCTACATGCTGAGAAGTTACGTCATTATCGAGTGAGCACTTAGGAGGAAGGATGTAATGTGCGAGTTAAAAAGGCTATTCGATAGGGACGAATTGACGTTGAAATGGAATAAAACAAGATCATTGTGAAATATAAAGTAGTTTTTTATTCAAAAGATCCATATACGCCATTATGTATACTATTACTTGGCTTCGTTTGTCCGCCGCAACCCTACACATTATCACCACGAATGCAAGAGGTCAAGTTATCAGTGACTGAATATTTGTACCTAAAACTGAGAAAAGAAATGGACCATATACAGGAGAAATTTTATTAAATTAATGTAATGTTGCTTATACGAGGGCCACGCTATATATTTTGAGATACGAGAAAACTAAGAAAACTAAAAACTAAAAAAGTTTATTTATGCTCAAGGTATTCTTATGCGTCTAGCCAGCCAGATTGTGGATTGCCTTCAACAAACTGATTAATTGCTTGAACGATTTCCTCTTCGGACGAACATTTTCGAACACACGGATTTTTTTTCAAATTCTTGAAGAGCCAGAAGTCACACATTGCCAAATCTGGCGAATAAAGCGGATGTTCTAGCATTTTGATGTGGCGCTGGCATAAAAAGTCTACAGTTAGTTGGGCAGTGTGGCTAACGGCATTGTCGTGATGCAGGATTGTACTCGTACCTCTGAAACAACTTTTTTTGTAGGAAGATGATCATGCAAAATGGTGTGCACTGATGCGGATCCTACCCAAAAAGTTGCATCTATAGTCGCATACGTGCAGCGAGAATCTTCTTCAATTTGCCGCTAAACTTTAGCAATGTTTTCTGGAGTCACATTAGAACATGGCCTACCAGTACGTTCTTCATCAGCCAATGAAACACGCCCTGTTTTGAATTCGGCATACCAGCGAAACACACTTGCCCGGGACGGAGCTTCACTACCAAATGTCTGTTGAAACCATTCGATTCATTGATGCTCCGTTAAACCGACTTTAAGCTCATGCTAAATCATAGCACGATAACTCTCTCGAAACAACTCCATGTTTCCTCTTAAATTTGTTTACACCACGTGCACTGTAAGATGCTTGTAAATGAACTGAATGAGCATCTCAAAATATACAGCGTGCCCCTCGTACAACTCCTTGGGATGAAGTGTACCTTAAATAATTACCAAAAACCTCTCTTACAAATGATATTCACACATGTTTACTTCCTACGCCTACTGACGAGGAAATATTGTAATTACAAAACATTTTGAAAATGAGATTGGTATTATGTTTTTTATGTTAAATGACATGTAGATCACAAAAAATCATGTCACTCATCTCCGTCGGTCTGTCTAAATCACTTAAATTGGGTTTTTTGACGTTTCAAATGATCCGGAACATTTTTGAAAATAATTTTATGGAAGAAAAATTGGATGTTGCTGGGTTGGGGAGGATGTATCGCCATCGTTTGATGTCAGTTTATTAATACAGTTCCAACCCCGATAATCATAGATTGCCCTTAAAACTTAGAACGATAGACAAATTAATGTTTTCGACAAGCATCCTCGCGTCTACTGACTAACGGCCGCACCCAGCGTATGTCCTACATGGGGAGAGGTGACGCAACGTTGCCAGATGAACGGTACTTCAGGTATGGCAGGGAAGGGTTGCTATGGACTAATTGTATCGTCAGGCGTTTCGTGCTTTTTTGACAACTCATCAGCATGTCGCTAACGGCCCTTAAAGACCTAATGGCTCGGCTGATGGCTGCTCCTATGATACGTCTCTCTCCACTTGATTTTCAATTGAAAAATAAAGGTTTACAATAACAATATTATAATTGTTTGGAATTATGTTAATGAATGTTGAAAAAATATTTAGAAACTTTGGCGACATGGAAATGTTCGTTTCTTCGTATTGTTTTTCGGGGAGAAACGGGCATATTTTGTATTTTTTTGAATGTTAAATCTCTTATGTCTCGAAAACTATCAACTTTACATAAAGGTACGCGAAATCTTTTCTAAGTAATACAGCACAAAGTGTCATCTATTACCAGACTCGATTACTGCGAAATTGAAAACAGCAAGCTACGTGCTGTAACAGTATCTCAGTCACCACAGTGACCGCTAGATGCCGCCGATTCTGTTGCGAAAGGTTTAAGAACTACATACCAAAATATGTGAACTGACCTAAACATACCTCAGTCCAAAAGTTGATAGTTTGCGAGATACAGGGTGACAAAGTTACAATTTTATTTTCTATTTTTCCTTATTGCTTGAGAAGTATATCAGATTTTGGCATAAAAGTCTGTGTGGAGGTTTTCTAGTATGAGAAACAAGAATCCGTTATTTTTTGTGACCAAACTTCTAAACGGCGTCACTTACAGCACTATTACGGTAAATAACTA